TCCCTTAAGCAGCCTCCTGGTACCCTCTCTGCTACCCCCCGCGCCCCCACTCCTGGCCCCCAGCTGGGAGCCCCCACCTGCCTGGCCCTGGGCGCCCTCCCCGAAACTGCCCCCCGAAACCGCCTGCCTCGTAGGCCGGGCGCCATGGAGCCGTCTGCTACCGCTGCAGCCCGAGTCTGATGCCGGCGGCCAGGGAGTGACCGCCCGGCGCAGCAGACCCCACCTGTCTCCCGGTTGCTCCCCACGGCAGCTTGGTTCAGTAGATCCACTGTTCTGCTCCCACTCTGTCTCTGGGGAGACCTCTCACCGGCCCCACCTGTGGCCTGCACCCCAGCCCTTGTGTGCATAAATAAATAAATAAATATTAAGAAGAGAAGAAACCACCTTCCTCATCAGCCTCGGCCGGCACAGGCACTTGCCTTCGGCAGGGTTGTCGCCTGGCCCCTGAGCGGGCTCGCGGCCAGTCCCCTCTCCTGGGCAGTGCATGCTGCTGTCGTCAGGGTGGGGATGCAGCGACTGTCACCTGCCCCCCGCAGCTCCCAGATGCGCCAGCCCCTCCGCCCCCTGCTCTGCATTTCTGTTCTCCGAAGTCCTTGTCTCTGCATCTTAGAAAGCGAGCACTCCTGACTGACCTGCACCCCCACTGACCTGCACCCCCGACCAGGTCCCCTCAGTGACCAGCACCCTACACCCCGACCCCTACACTGCTATACATGCCCCACCGACCCTGCTGGGCCCACGCCCACCGCCTGCCTCAGTCCCCAGTGGTGGCCACAGAGTGTCCTCGGGACAGCGGCTCTGGACACCATTCAAGTCCGGTGTGGCTCAGCCGGCGCACGCCACGGCTCCTGGCCCACCTGTCCCGGGGCACCTGGGGGACCCAGCCCGCCTGGCCCACCCAGGCGCCCCAGCCCCACCCCAGCTGTCAGAGGAAAGGACCGCGGGCCGGGGGCCTCGCAGCAGGCATGGGGGTTCTGTGGGGGCCTCGCCGCGTCGCCCCCGCCCCCAGGCCAGACTGCGAGCTCAGCCAGGAGCTGGAGGTGACAGGGCCGACCCAGGGAGCGAAGGACTCCCCCAGACCCCAACAGAGTGGAGCCCGTCCTGGCAGTTGTCCTTTCCTGCCCTCTGAGCCGCCCCCACGCCACCTGCAGACTGGACCCCCCGGTGTGCTGCGCCCGCCGCTGTCTCCCAGAAGCACGGGCGCTGTGGCAAGGCCCATGTCCAGGCACCGCCAGGCGCGGGGAGACGCCCTGCTGGCCGGCAGCAGCTCTGGCCCCCGGAGCCCCAGTGCCGGGTCCAGAGCCGGGTCCGGGAGAGGCCCCTGATGACCTGCTTGCTCTCCTGCCCAGAGCTCGGGTCTGCGACCTGCGAAGCTGGGGCCCAGGGCGGGGCGCTCCCCGGCACCCGCCTTCCTAGCAGAGCATTTGCCCCCTCTGGCAGCCGGCCCCCGCAGGGCCGGAACAGCTGTCCCTGCCAGCCTGGAGGGGCGTTGGGGTGCTCTCCCGGTCACAGATGTGTAGGGGGCCCGGGGAAGGAGGCCAGCGTCATGCTGGAGCCTGGATCTGAATCCGGAGCGAAGGTTTCATTTGTTCCAGGAGGCTCGCAGCAGCCTCCCCTGCCTGGCGCAGAAGCAGACGCCGCGCGGCGCCCGGCGCGGAGCCCCGGCCGAGGGCGGCTC